GCGGTGGGATCAGCCGCCTTTGGAGCGGGAACTGCGCACCGGCCGGCAGACCCTTCTGGGAGCCAGCCGGCGGGCCTCGGCCTCGCTCCCGGGGACTTCGGAACCATCAGGCCGGGAGCCGCGCTCCTCTCCGCCTCGCACCCGGCGCCCCTGGCACAGTCGGCTTCTGCGTTGGCCCGCCCGGGGCTGCAGGCCAACGCTGCAAGTTGTCCTCCCTTCAGACGTCACCTGGGGTTCTTCTCATTCTGCCATCACTCACCAACTTCCCGAATGAGTTGCGTTTCCTCCCAGATCTGGGGCTCCAACCTGCACTTCCCTCGCTGCCTGTTCTGGGTGGAAACTGGGGAGAGGGAGAAAACAAATTTGAGATACAAAACTAACGGCACTGTACAAATCAATTATTCGAAACCTTGATAAATAATTCATTTAAGCCTGTTTTTGTTTTGTTCCGATACCTAAAATGACTCAGGAGCTCAGATCACACAGCTCGCGTTGGACGGTTCAGCAGGGTTTTTGGCTTGGAATGATTCACAACATTAGCAGAGAAGACAGAAATATGCCCCTACCAAAAAAAAAAAACTTAAAAAGGGAGAGAGAAGGTAGAAGGTTTGGGGAGGTGTTCATTTTATTACAACTCCGAAGCAAAGCAAAGGGAAGCCCAATAGTCCCCACCCTGTGAATGTCTCAGAACTTTTCTTAAGAAAAGGTGACCATCATAGACGTCTTTGTGTGGGATGTTAGGAGGTCAGCTTTGGGGGGCCACAACTGTGAGGGGGGATATATTACCTTGGCTTTTATCAAGGTCCTATTTTGGGGTCCCTACCAGAGAGGAAATGCTACTAGTGGCCTGAAGATCCAAAAGAGAGATTCATAGTCTAGATGGCAAACTTAATGAAAAACAAATTCTTCAGAGCTGCGGTTTTATTTTTAACTTTGCTCAGTTCTTTTTTCTCCAGACATTCCTCTTTTGCCACTTTTTGCCCCTGAGAGTATATATGATGTTTATACCCAAGAAGTCACGCACTTTCTAGCAGAGCAAGCATAAATAACTTTTCATTTAAAAATCAAATTTCAGAAATAGAACAGGGTGCAGATTAGTCACATTTTCACTTCCTACATAAAGGAAAGGAAATACATTAACTGGATTAATCAGATTTTGCCACTGGATTTAAGATGCAAATAACTATAGTCCCTATACTGACATAGGCTTTAAAATGATCTTCCACATTTAGGCCTTCATTTTCTTAAAAAAAAATGACGAAGAAAGAAAGTTCTTTAATTTGGGGGAAGATTTTGGAATTCCTGCACAGAAAGCAGTTATTTGCCAACTGTGTAATAGATAATATTTCCTTCCTGGCTCTGAAGAATACATCAGTCCTGATCACCACTAAAGTTTCTCCCTCTCCACCACAGAGAATGATTCAAACACACATGTTTTAACAAGTTTTATTCTAAATACACTCTGTGTCGTCCACTTTTACAATCAAGATTGGTATTTGGGACTGTGTTAAACTGGAACATAATGTTTTGAAAAAGCATAACTGAACTTTGAAGAAATACACTTGTAGATTACGTTGAACTTGGAACTGATGTTTCTTCCTGTCGTATTTTATTGAAACGTCAGTAAGGATCCACTTGACAAGGCCAGCTGACGGGTATGGCGTGCAAAGGCGCTTCCGTCCACTGGGCGGCGCCAAGAGCTCCGAACCGAGAGAGTCTGCTATTGTTTCTTTTTATAAAAGATGCAAGATACGCTCTCCACCCACTAAGGTTTCCCCCGCACGGCATTATGGCCTCTCGCCTTTTGCGCAGCTACAGGAACGTCAGGAGCATGCTTGCTTGCTTCCTTCCTTCCTTTCTTTTTTCAGCCTAACAGTATATTTCCAACTGCCTAAGAACTTGAAGCATATTTGCTTAGGAAAATAACATACTAAAGAGAAAGACACGAAAACGCTGCAGTTGAGTTCCTTAAATAGACTGAAACCAAGAGGGTGGAGATTGGGAGCAGAAGAAGAAAAGGTAAAGTGGGAGAAAAATCAGTTAACTGAAAACGCTTAACAGAACAACAGGTTGAAACGATTGGCTATGCAATTGCTAATTGTCCTCGGGGAATGAAAGTTTTGAGAAAGAGTTCTGGTATCAAAATAAATCTTGTGAGAGCTATAAGCTTCACTGCAAAGAACGGCAGTTCAGAAGAGACCTCGTGAAGTTGCCTCTCCCTTGGGAGTGAGATGTGTGTCCTGCCCAGCAACTAGCAGGATGGCAGGTAGAGAGGCAAAGGAAAGGGCGCTGGAAGAGGGCATTTTAGTCTCTTTTTTGCCACTTTCTAATGTTCTTGAGCAAGGCACTTAGCCTTTCTGATCACCAACTTCCTTCTCTACTAAAGGGGAGAATTGTCCTCGCCTAGAATAGGGTATCTGTGATGACCAGATAAGACCTTCTATGAGAAAGCTCTTTACAAACCGTGAAGCGAGAGTTTGACAAATGAACAATGCAAAGGGGGCAATTATTTCTAGCTAGGTAACAAACAGTAGCCACATTTTCCCCACTTCTTCCTTCCCTCACTCCTTTGGTTCATTCACTCAGTCCATAAACATTGCTGAATGTGCATTCTGTGCCAGGCGCTTGAGAATGAGAGAGTTAACAGGAGCGTGAACATGCTAGAAATTGTCACAATGCCATGATGCCGACGTGAACCTGCTACAGTGGGGACACAAAAGAAGGAGTGGGGAGTCCTACCCTGGGGAGAGCTGGGGGAACAAAAAGGCTTCCTAAAGGAAACGAAGTGTGTGTTCAGCCATGGAAGAAAAGGGATGCATCCCAAGTAGAGATATGTGATATACAGAGGGATGCATATTGTAGCTAAGAGTAATAATGGAGCAGAAATGGCCACACATCGCTGACCTGTTAAACTCTTGACTGCGGCGCCGGGCTACAATGTGTGTTGACTCTAGTGGTCTCTCCCGCGTGCTCCCATAAGGAACAGAACACTCCTGGGCATCCTGGAGGGAACAGGAATTAACTGCCCGTGCTCAAAGGCCTCTGCAGCAGGATTTTGTAGTAGGTTACACGGTCTTAGATTTGATCCAAGAGACGGTCCAGCCCCCTTCTACGGGGACTGTAACGGCTCTTCCCCACTCCCATTCCCGATTCCTTTCTACTTTCTAGAGCTCCAAACTCGGGGGGGGGGGGGAGAAGGAAGTCTCCCTCCAAGTCCGGGGAGGAGATAGAAAAGATGACAAAGTGGAAGCAGTTGGCGGGGCCGAGGGAGAAGATGCGGGAGACTGTATTTCACCCCTCCTAAACTAAATCATTGTCCATTGAAGACAGACTCCTAGAGAGATGAAAGAGCCCCCGTGTGACAATGCCAGGTCCCGCTATAAAAAGAACTCTTACGCCTCTAAGGTTCATGAAGGAAGCTGATTCTCCCACCAGCTCCCGAGATTCAGAGGGAATGGAGGGGCCAAGGCAGAGGAGAAACGAAAGCCTCAGAGCGCTGGGCGAAGATGCCAATCAGGGAAGGGGAAATTCATTTGCGATGTTAATTAACAGGCGGCTAATTAAAACGGCACTTTGAGCGCTAATCAATCGCCTTATTAAGTTAGAGCCATCACTGGAACAAATTGAAAGCTCCCCGCCCCGGCTCCTGCCTGCGGTGCGGGCGGGGCTGGGTTCCCAGACACGGAGCGGGGAAGTGGCAGGGGTGCAGGGCCGTCCCCACCCGCTCTGGCAGCGTCTCAGGGGTCTGCAAAGTCTTCCAACTCCCGGGTGCACCCTGGCCCACCAGCTCACCCTGCCAGGATCTGCTGAACTGAACACGTGCCTAGGAGGCGATGGCCGGTCCACACGCACGGGCCAGCGGGGAAGGGGCTGCCTCGGAGAACGACCGAATCCGCGGCGGCTCGCACGGACTCAGCTTCCCGGAAGAAGCGCCCCAAAATGTGCGGGAATTGAACTGTGGGTCACAAGCAGCAGGGAGGAAGCAACGCAGCCCGAGAGGGGGCGCTCTGCAGCCGGGACCACGCGTCCCCGTTTTCCAGGACAGAAGGATTGCCTCACTTTGAAAACTCTTCTTAGGCTCTTGCCCTTACCCAGCCCAGCAACCGGCGAAGAGCTGGCCTGCCTTCAGGCCGCGAGCACAGGACAGCCAGCCTCGTGGGCTCTGTCTCCTGGGGCTCCGTAAGAAAGGGGTGGGATGCGAGGAGGGAAGAGGGAGTGGGTACGCTGATCGCCTGAGACGCTGACTCACCATTGCCGGTCACTACCTGCCGTCCTCCCAGCCCGTCCACTCTTCCCCGGGCCGTTGGCTCTCCAAACTCGCTGCGGAGAACTGGTTTTGAATCTCCAGTTTGAGGAGACTTCCACATAGCCTACTTGTTAAATGCTTGATTTTCACTGAATTCCCAAGGGAGAAGTATTTGGCAATAAGAGGGGGCTGTGAATTTAAATACTAATTAAGTGGGTCCTTCTGCAACTCCACCTGTCTGGCAGCCCTTGCTAGAGAGGAACACCCCTGGCTCGCGCACCGCAGCCTTCCTGGGGTGCAGAGCAGAGGCACAGTAATGAGGGGCCCCGGAGGGCTCCTGTGTTGTTTGCTTTACACGGCCTGCTACACAGAAAAAGAGGTCGCCATTGGAAGGAGGTCTTTTGCATGGTGGCTGATAACATGGTGTGGCCCAAGGTGTGGTTTCCGTCTGCAAAGACACGTGTGCTGTGTCCTGAACTGGCCTGTGGGGTCGCCTTTCCGGAAGTGCGTCGGGTCGCATCTGCTGGTGGGTCTGAGTGTGCTCGGGCTGTCCCGGGAGAACCTAAGGAACAGCTCCCACGTGCAAAGTTCAAAAGCATTAATATTTTCATCATATTATCATTATTCAATATAATAATATTTGCTCGGTTAGCGGCACTAATTAGGCCACATTAAAACCGTAGTGTCTCCCTAATGGTGCGTAATGTGCCCACATTCACATTTTTCTCTCTGAGAATGGGCGGCTCTTGGCTGGCAGGGGAGAGGAAGCAGGCAAGCAGTGGGATGGATTAGGGTGTGACGCCCCCAACACACACCACACCACACACACACACACACACACACACACACACACACACACACACACACGACGAGAGAGAGACGACGACGACCGACGACCGTAGGTTACGTTCGTTCGGTTCGGGGTTCCGGCCC